ATAATTTTCAAGTTATCACTTATCATTATCAACTAAGTTATCAGTTATCATTTTTAATTTATTTTGTACCAAGTCCATACAAACCCTACAAATAGAAAAAAAATATCAAAAAATGTTTTTTATGTGATGAAATTGTGAGGAAGGTCGTCCAGTGTATCGAACGTTAGATCTAAGCTGTCGTAGAAGATATATAAAGCTGTCGAGCTTTATATTCAACAACTGATTAACTGGCTGAAGGACAAACGAGTTAAATTACTCATGCTTAAAATTGTTTTAAAATCGCGAAAAATTCGGAGTTTTTCTTCTAAAACTGAGGGCTACTCCTCTCTAAAATATGCCTCTTAGGTGTCTAGGCATGGACTTGTGGCATTTATTGTGGGATTCCATTCGATCCTTGAGCCTTAAAAATTTAGAAACTTATCTACATTTGACCATCATTTCAAATCGATCTTGAAAAGTTCAATCGACATGAATGCGGTAATTATTTGGCTGGACTCACCTTTATGGCTAGATCGAAATTTTTAAAAACTCGTTCATAAGTGCTTTAGGAAAAAAAAAGGAATTACTTTTGAATGTTCACTTTGAATAAAATGTTTCTTGATATGTTTTGAATCTCTTACCTGTATATCATAATTAAGATACAAGTGAATTCTCACAACATTGAATTAATATCTTCTCTGTCTAACTTCAAGCAATCTATGTTCACAAAGTTTAATGAGGTGACAGAAAGTGCTATATCAGAGTTTAGTATATCGCATACTGCTTAATTATGGTAGTTAGCAATATTTTCGTACTACCGAGAACTCTTTTACTTTGAATAAAAACGTTTCTTGATTCTTCTTACCGGTATATGATAATTAAGATGCATGCAAATTCTCATAACAATGAATTAATATCTTTTCGGTTTAATTTCACGTAATTTATATTCACAAAGTTCAATGAGGTGATATATGCTATTTCAGAGTCTAAAGATATTCCTTACTGTTTAATGCTAGTTAACAACTTTTCCATACTACAGCGAAGAGATTCAAGACATTTAAACCCACCTTAATAGGCAATATTAAAAACTGTAACGAAGCATTTTTTTCTTCTTTTTCCTCTAACTAAAAGTTACAGACTTTTTAATACTCTAAGTAAATTTACGTATTTAAGGCATAAGTACCACAAACAATTGAGATTAAAAGAAAAACGGTATTACTGGCTACTTCCCCCAGTAGATTTCGAATATATCGTCGGATTGGACAAAAAAATATTTTTTAATTAATTTCAACTAAGTTGTAAACATGTGTGTAGGATATAGTTTCTTTTTTCGAATTATTTGTTTATTTATTGCTTGCAATATTTACATAGTAATTATAAATTAAGCGATATTTAAATGCCCAAAAATTAGAAATTGATATGCATACTACACATTTTTTATTTGAAGAATAATTATACGAGGGTTGTAAATTAAATAGAGGCAACTTAACCTTGAAACTCACAAAAGAGTGGGCATGCGCAAATAGGATATGGGAGCGGTGAGGTGGAGCTGTTGTCGATGTGTAGAGTGCAAAATACAGTCGATCTGCTCAGAAGGGTAGTTGTTGTGTGGCGTTAAAGTGAGGAGTTTCGTTTTCATCGCTCTAAAGCAGGGTTTCTCAACCTGTGGTTCATGAACCCCTAAGGGGTCCATGAGTTATAATTTGGGGGTCCGCTGACTACTAATTTTTAAAACGTTTGAAAGCCTACCCATTGCTTGTGAAGCGAGCTATGTCAGCTATAATTCCGTTTGCTGCAGTGTATCTTTGCGAAGCGGTATTTTCCACAATTGTGACAATAAAAACATAACATCGAAATCGATTGAATATTGAACATGATATGCACGCTGCTTTGTCGAAAACCATCCCCCAATGCAATTTATTAATTAAGGAAAAGCAGCAGCAACCTTCACATTAAAAATTTCAATTTCAAAAATTTTGTATACTATTAAAATAATAAAATCAAATGTTTTTTAATAATTGATGTTTTTTGCAATTATTTTTTTCGCAGGGGGGTGGTCCGTGACTTCTTGAAAATTTTTAAAAAGGGTCCATTATATCAAAAAGGTTAAGGAACACTGCTCTAAAGCATGTTTTCAAAGGGCTTGCTTAATGACGAAAAAGACGAGATGCTTGAACCCATCGTGCTGCTGTCCAATACAGTAAAGCATTTGCGCCACAGGCTTCCACTAATCCTCGATAGCATTCTGTCGCATTTTTGCCACTGGCAACCTCGATTTTAAGCGACGACCGCTGATCACCTTTAGAAAGCAGATCGACTGTTTTTTGCACTCTACACATCGACAACAGCTCCACTCATCGTTCCCATATCCTATTTGCGCATGCCCGCCATTCTGTGAGTTTCAAGGTTAAGTTGCCACTATTTAATTAACAACCCTCGTATTTCTTATGAAAAGAAACCAGGTTGTTAAAAACAAATTCAAATGATGCAAAAAAGCAAACTAATAACAATACTTAATGAAAGTCGGTACAAATTTTGATCAGACTCCTGATTTGGATCAGATTTACCTAACCGTGATATTCCCCACCATATAGGGTCTGAGAAAATTCAGTAGAATTCTGAATTAAAAATAATTCGTAATGAAGAATTCTGTTTATTATTCAAAAATATTTAAGAAACAAAGGCTACTTGCAGATTTAAACAATAAACAACTTCTCAATGTTAAAATTAATTCCCCCTCCCCCCCAAAAAAACCTTGAATATTAAAATTCAAATACACATTCAAATCACTCAGCAGAATTCAAATCAATTTTCGCAAAAACTTTACAAATATAAAATTAATTTACAGCTGGAAAATTACAGATTTAAATTTAATTCATGGAGAAAAAAAATCTTTACAAAAATTAAACTACATCTTCTCCAAAAAATATTTTTAACAAAGCTATAACTTGTTCTAAAAAATAAACAATTCTCAAAATTTAAATCAAATTGCAGAAAAAGTGCTTAACAAAAACAAAAACAAAAAAAAAGAATTTAAANGAGAGCTGTATTAAGTTCACCTGACATTGAGTGTTGATTGTATGAGCTGTATTAAGATCGTGGTTGTGGGCGTGGTCGCTCCTGCGCTGTTATTAGCAGTCGAGTGTTTTCAGACCGACGTTGTGTGTGATTGGGATTGATTAGCAACAGCGTCATGAGGACAATGTTACAGTCTCAAATATCTAGTCAACTGTTCAATATGAACCATCCATTGAAGTAGGCGTATTCAAATCGAAATAGGCGTGTCTGTCGAAGTTGGCGTGGTCAGACCACAGCCGAAGTTCACCAATGTGGGGCAATGTCTACCTTCCTCTATGAAAAGGTACCCTGGCATAGAATCGAGTTAACATGTTTATATTGTCAATATACGAGGGTTATAAATTAAATAGTGGCAACTTAATCTTGAAACTCACAGAAGGGCGAGCATGCGCAAATAGGGTATGGGTGCGGTGAGGTGGCACTGTTGTCGATGTGTAGAGTGCAAAAAATAGTCGCTCTGCTTAGAAGGGTAGTTGTTGCGTGGCTTTAAAGTGAGGAGTTTCGTTTCCATCGCTCTAAAGCATGTTGTCAAAAGGCTTAATGACGAAAAGAGACGATATGCTTGAACCCATTGTGCTACTGTCCTATTCCTATACGGTAAAGCATTTACGCCACTGGCTTCCACTAATCCTAGATAGCATTCTGTCGCATTTTTGCCACGGGCAACCTCGATTTTAAGCGACGACCACTGATCACCTTTTGAAAACATGCTTTAGAGCGATGGAAACGAAACTCCTCACTTTAACGCCACACAACAACTACCCTTCGAAGAAGATCGACTGTTTTTGGCACTCTACTCATCGACAACAGCGCCACCTCACCGCTCCCATATCCTATTTGCGGTTGCCCACCCTTTTGTGAGTTTCAAGGTTAAGTTGCCACTATTTAATTTACAACCCTCGTATTTCTTATGAAAAGAAACCAGGTTGTTAAAAACAAATTCAAATGACGCAAAAAAGCAAACTGATTACTATACTTAATGAAAGTCGGTACAAATTTTGATCAGACTCCTGATTTGGATCAAATTTACCTAACCGTGATATTCCCCACCATATAGAGTCCGAGAAAATTCAGTAGAATTCAGAATTAAAAAAAATTCGTAATGAAGAATTCAGTTTATTATTCAAAAATATTTAAGAAACAAAGGCTACTTACAAATTTAAACAATAAACAACTGATCAATGTTAAAATTAATTCCCTCCCCCCCCCCAAAAAAAACACCTTGAATATTGAAATTCAAATACATATTCAAATCACTCAGCAAAACTAAAATCAATTTTCGAAAAAACTTTACAAATATAAAATCAATTTGCAGCGGGAAAATTGTAGATTTAAATTTAATTTATGGAGAAAAAAAATCTTTACAAAAATCAAACTACATCTCCTCCAAAAAATATTTTTAGCAAAACTATAACTGGTTCTAAAAAATAAACAATTCTCAAAATTTAAATCAAATTGCAGAAAAAATACTTAACAAAAAAAAAAAAGAATTTAAATAAAAAACACTTAAGTATTTTTTGTGTTAAAGGATTTTGATTTTAAGTTTAATATCAGTTACAGAAAAAGCACTTAAAATTGAAATCCAATTACAGAAAAAACACTTAATTATTAATAATTAAGAGTAATTTAATAATTAATTTAAAATTATTTCCCAAGAGAAACTCTTAATGAAATTAAAATTAGTTACTGATTGCAAAATTAAACTAATATTTTCATACAAAATGTTTTTTGATAAGAAGTGCAATTGAATTCTTAAATATAAAATAGATAAACACGAATATTGAGGATTAATAAAATTTAATTTTAAAAGTAAATATCTAAAGATAGGAGGTAAGGAGATAAGCGAAACGAAGAAACACGTAACGAAGAAACTCATGAGTTAGTTGCTAAAGGCTAGAAGTTATGTTTTACGACTTGGCATTGAACTAGAGAGAATTTGATGGCGACCTTGGCGAGAAAAGAAAAAACCGAAAAAGAATAAGAATGTTAAGTAACACCTTACCTATTTATCTACTATAAAATAACTGCACTTGTTCAAGAGTTAGATATGTTGTTTATCTTCACTCTCACAAAATAACACACAACTTTACTCTAAGGTATGTTTAACTTCATAAAATTATTTAAATCTAAGTAGTTTTTAATGTTGCTTATACATTTCAAATTAATTCTTTTTGTACTGTTTATATTTATTTTTTCAATTATAATTTTTTTAATTATTATTTTATTAATAATTCATTTTTTGGGGTTAAGAATAGGAAACACTTCAACATAAAAAGGTGCATAGGCTTCTATTGTATTCATGCTTGTAAAAATAAGCAAAGATTTTTGAATAGTAAATACGATGCTGAAAAGCAAAATAGTATAAATATGCCGTCTAGCAACAAAACATTTACATTATTCTAAAGATCTAAAATATTTTTTTTTCAAATTCAAACAATTTCTTAATAATTTTAAAGACCTTTCAAATTGAAAATATGAAATAGTTGTTATAAAATTTGAAATAAAAACTATTTGAGTATTAATTACTTTACAATTAAATCATATATTTTAAGAGATTTTTTATATAGTAAATATTTAACATTCACATTTTGAATTTAATCTTGCATTTTTAATATTTTACATTATTATACATTTATTATCTTATATATTTATTATATTATGTTGTCTTACATATTTATATTACATTTATTTTTTGAAGTACTAACTTTTGAGACTAAAATTTTCACGAAATTCTTAATTAAGAACTACACAGTGACCGGAAAAACAGCGTTATTTTTGTAGCTTAGTACAACTACAACTTCTTTGTTAAAATTGCAATTAACTACAGCTACTTTTTTTTTTAAAGTAGTGATTACAAAATACTTCAGAATTGTAGTTATTAATTTACAACCTCAAGGAGACGAACTTTGCACGAGAACATTAAGTTCTCCAGCAAAGTTCGTCAAAAAAAAGACCTAGGTTCGAAAAGGTTTTCAATAAGAAATTTACTTACATTAATGTAAGGGAATAATTAATAAATATTTATTCATGTATACACGAGCCAGTTTGTTATTTCGAAATATTTTTTTTTAGCATCTGCCCATTTAACCTGCAACACTTAATACCTTCTTCGATAGCGAATATTTCTTTTAAGAAATGCGAATTTATCAATTACTTGAAATTTTTCAATGCTCTTTTATTTCCTCTAAGCAGTGCATCTGCCCTCCTGGAAAGTCATGAATTTCGGTATTGAACAAAATTTGTCATGAAATGTCATGGTTTTAACTATTTTTTTAAAAAAAATCATGGAAAGTCTTGGATTTAGGTCGTCGAAAAATCTAATTTTCAAAATAGAATTTTAAAATAATGCCCTAATAATAAATAAAAATAATAATAATAAATAATTTAAAATAATAATAAATAATTTTAAAGAAATGCCTCCCCTCTCCAATTTCATGGTGTTCCGTATATCTGAACTTGTCCCCACTAATAGTTATATTATATTAAAATATAAAATGTTTTTATCTTATTGAAAAAAAAATTGTGGCGTTTTTTTAAAAAAATGAAAGAAAAAACATCATTTTTAAACCGAGTTATCATTTAAACTTCTGTGATTTCAGAATTTTTATTACTCAATTATTTTATTATGTCAATTTAAAATTCCATCTGAAGCAAGCCAGTCATTGACGAATTATTTCCATTCGGAAATGAGAACCGAAAAATCAGGAGTATTTCTTACCTTTTCGATGAACAAGAAAAGTATCTTTAGAATATAATTCTGCAGAAAAAAAGAGAAATTTTTTTTTTGCTTTTGTATTTTCTTCCAGCTATTTTATTACTTCAACTCTTTCTTTACTCTGTTTTTTAAATTTAAAATTTTTAAATATGAAGATGCAGAGTATAACAGTTTTGGTTCCACCTATCATTTCAATTAATGTTATCATAATGTTTTTTGAATTTATTGTTCTGTTTTTGTCGGAGAAAATAGTAGCTTCGTTAAGTCATAAAAAGTGCTTGGTATTAGTCATTGAAAGTCATGAAAAGTCATGAATTTGAAAGTCTAAAATGTAGCATATACCCTGAAATTAAGTACATCGAAAATATGCTACCTTCCTTTAAAATAACACCAATCTTTTACGTGTGTACATTCGTATGTAAAACTGTGATCAAAGTGATTAATCATCTATTTTTCTTTTAATATTAGTTAATACTAGTTTAATACTAGTTTAAACATTAGTTATATGCAATTCTAAATACGTAATTCCTGTTATAATTTCATCATGCAATACTTTAATCAGATAATAATCGTGTAACAAATAAAAATAATTAAAATTTTTAATTAAATTTCTTTAGTTCAATTTCAAATAGCTACATTAATCGTATTTATGAGTTTACTTTGCACTAGATAACATCAAAAAATTTGCACTATATAACATTATTTAAAGCTTGAGTCTTAAGCGTTTTCTGAAACTTTTAAAGGGAACCTTTACAATGTAATAATTCTGAATATAACGAAGTGGTAGTCTCCTTATAAAGGGGTTTTTTCATTCGTTTATCTGTTCGATTTCTGTTATTTTTAAAGGAATTTTAAGCTGGAATTATTGGAGACAGCGAAAATAACAAATGATATCACTCTCTTCAAAGTGGACGAAGAACTGATAACTGTTTCTACAGGTAAAGAAATTTTTAACTTTGTAATGGGCAATGATAAAGTACAGGAAAATGGCATGCGTGACAGTTATTCCAAAAATAAAAACGGAGACAACAATAAATGACAGAGAAATGAAAAAAGTGACAGTGATTCCAGAAATGAAAACGGAGATAACAATGAAAGGCAGGAAAATGACAAAAGTGACAGTGACTCCAAAGAGAAAAACGAAGTATAGCCAAAACCACTCAGGATTTAAATGCTATAATAATTCGAAATTTTTTCATTTATTTCCAATGAGCTGCACAAGTGCGCACACATGAGCAGACCTAGTGCGTTCTCCAGAATTGGTATCCACTCTTTCAGGACCACCACCATGGGTGAGATACCGTTGGCCATGTTAATTTGGACGTCTAGTTTCTGCCACAATAGATGGCAGCACCGAGACTCTTATTTGGATGCTAAAGTGCACTAGGAATTTAATTTTGCCGGAAGTGCCAAGAGCCAATAAGGCACTCCTGGGATCTTTCACATGCCGCATAATCATACGACATGGCCGCTGAGGATCTTCTGCATCATGAAAATCCGGTGTCTGGGCCGGGGATCGAACCCGCAGATTTGGGCTCAGAAGGCCGACGACAAACCAACTAATTCGAAACATTTAAAAGAGGATTTAAAGAGGAAGAAAGTGTGCTCGATCCTATTTTTAACTAACTTTGAAAATGTGAAAATAAATTATAATGGGAATTTAACATCACGAAATGGAAAATAATGTGTTATTTTATGTAACGCAGAACTTTTTATGACAAATAAAAGTAAGAATATACTAGTACAATAAATATTCTTGAACGTGATGAAACATCTTAACTTTTGAGCATTTTTATTTGGGCAAGAAAATATACCTTTAAGAATTTTAATTATTAGTCATAACAATATATTTTTGAAATTATCAGACGGATGAGAAAAGATTGAAATCAATGTAAAATCTCTAAATTTCGTATAAAAAATTTCTCTGCAGAGAATTTTTCTAATCAGAGATTGTATTGAAAGCAATTTTAGTCATTTATCAGGAATATTTATGCTACATATTTCCGATTTTTCATTGATTCTAAAGATCTTTAATTGAAAAAATCGAGCGTCTTTAAAACCAATATAAATAAAACACCTCTACTTTAACGTAACCAATTTCCAAAAATTAAAATTAAGTAAAAATTATTATCTTTAATTATGTTCATGTCTGTATCTTATAAGACATATCTGTTTTTTATCAGGCATGTATGTTTTTTTATCATACAAAATAATTTTTATCTACCATTGTCTTTCTTACCTTGAAAGTAGATTTTCAAAACTTTTACCAAAACAAAAAGATTGAAAAAGTGATTAATTATAGTACAATATAGTTGTCTCGATCGATTTCGAGAAAACTTAGTATTTGTCATTTAAAATTACTTGGATGAAATGATGTAAAAATTAGTATGCTCAGACTCAAAAACATACTTTTTCTGAATAAACATACCTTTTTTTTAGACGGATTCGGGTTTTTGACTCTCAAAATAAAGGGAGTTGTCACACTCAAGGAAATATGGTCCCAATAATTTGGTCAGGAGAGCGATCCAAAATTAAGACCCTTTACTGCTAATTTTACTTTTAGCATATTTCATCATTTCTCGATGATATATAACATCGAGAATTTAAGGGAATTGTAATATGCTTGCACTTAATTATAAAATTCGTTTCTACAAGGATAATTCCATGCAAAAATAGCTTTTGGTAAACATTTATTTATTTATTTTCAATTTTTCATTTAATAATAGTCGAAAAAATTTTGAATTCTGAGTCATATGATTTTTTACATCGTTTTAAAGAACGTAATTTTATATGATACAATTTTTAAAGGACTTTGCTGGACCCTTTAAATATTTTCGGTACCCCCTGAGAAAATGAATAGCCTAGTATCCAGGATGTGCGTCTATTTTATTTAGATAAATCTAATACATTAATTTCTTTTTAAAATTTCATTCCCAAAAATGAACATTTCAAGTTCCGTACTTTAATTTTATTCTCACCCTTTTTTATATATAACATTAGTGATCTTTAGAAATGCGAAATTTTACGCTTAAAGGCTTTGCTTCTTTTTCTTCAAATGCACTACAGCTCACTAATGGCCAAGAAAATCAAAAATGATAGTAAAGAAGTCTCCGTCAACGGTCCCCATCAGTCGCTGATTTTTATTTTGAGGACAGTCTCTAGTCAAATATATTCATATCGTTTTTTTTTCTTCCTGATACCCTTTACATTTGCAAATATTACTTTTTTACCGAGGTTCGAGTTATCACAACTAAAAATATGTCCAGGTTGTTTGTATTTTCCATAGATTTCATACTTAAGCGAAATTCTCTATTTATAATTTGAGCTGATTAGTCCAAATATTATTACTGAGCCGCGATGGCTCAGGGGATAGAGCGTTCG